TTTTTTTTGTTATTATTATCTTTGTGGCTGTTACGCACTAAACCGTCTGACTGTATTCTCATCTTGCATTAACTGATATGCCTCAATACTTGACCTTCGGAAAATCTTTTATACTATGAACGCCACCAATTTGAATAATGCTTGTATACAAACATATATCACCAAAAGTCACCCGCTAAGCTAATGTTCGACGATAAAAACTTAAAAACTTTAAAAAATTAATTAGCAATTCCCTTCGTAATTCTTCCCTTATCCAATATTTTACAATGTTGTAGAAGTCTTGAAAATGAGATACCCAGCATGTTATGTTCAGTCGGTCTGAAGATAAAAACACAAGTCCTTTAATAATTTAACGCTGAGAGCAAAAAAGATAGGCGAGAATGCTACGAAGAACTCCAGCTTTTCGCGTTTTCTTAGCCAATAATTAAGATTTTATGATTCTAGTACTGCATATATAATAACCAGGGCAAAGAGTATTAAATAACACAGCACCCTAGGAGATATATTACCTGAGAGACGCAGGAATTACAGAAACGAACAAATACCTGAACGGCACATTACGGCAAAGAAAAGAAGTATCTAGTTATGATTTTCCCCAATTTGGACAAAACGAGTTTTGCATGTATGAATTAACAATCATCTTGCAAAATGGTTTAAGACATAGTTAGTCCCCTCTACTAACTATGTTTAAGACGACGGAGAACTTTTTTTATTTTGGCAAGAACGGGATCGAATGAATTGTAATGAATTGTTCCACTTCAGTCGGCATTTTTTTTCCTCATTTTTATGGCATATAACCCTGTGGGAAATCAATTAATTGAATGGTTTACTACGCCATTGCTTCTCTTTTCTGTAAGAACAATGAGGGATGATCACTCGTGAAATGGTGACACCTTTTAAAGTCTACTGTGACATGATTGACAAGAACGGTGTTGGAGTGACAGTTTTCAGTCACGATAGCGAAAGCAGAACACCGGTGGATGGGTATAGTCTAAATTTAAATTAGCCCTACTGGCCTCGCTTGAGATAATGTATTCTTTTGAATTTTGTACTGGACAACGAGGCCATTAGGGCTAATTTAAATTTAAATAAAAGAATATTAATCCGGCAGCCATTTATGAAAGTGGTCTATCAGCTCACTGTGAGCAGTTTACAATGTACGAGTGCTATCATTCAAGGCTCTTTCGTGGCGATCACGGCTGGTGGGTGTCACATGATGGAGAGAAGATGAAGTAGTGGGGAGGAGTTGATTCTGTTGATTACAAATGCGCATGCAGCTTGACCAATACATGTGCAGGCCTTCGGTACAAATGCAATTGCGACAAAAATGACAACCATTTGCGAAACGGCAGCGGTTTACTCGTCATCATCACTTCATTCAATCATGGAATCCTTATCACTAAAAGAAAAGTGGTCTTCAAAAGAGCTGTGCTTATTAACCCTAAACATGTAGTACCTAATAATTAACAACTATGACTTAAAAACTACAATCTATTAAGAAGAAATCTTAAAGTAAGTTATTAATATTATACAATAGAAGAATAAAAGCTATTTATGGTAGTGGCCTGCTTAGCCTCAACTGACAGACTGTTCCATGCTGCTGCACCCCTATAACGAAAACTCTTTTTGAGGGCCTCCGTATTCGGCCGCGGAATAAACAAGTTGTGTTGGGCGCCCCGTAAACTATGCCTGTGGATTGTATTTACGCTGGTGAATTTGTCAGACAGGTATTTGGGTACAAGGTTATTAGCAGTTTTAAACACGTCAGTCAGTGAGGCTTTCCCATTTGAGGGCACGAAGAATCTGGGTAGATCTGACATCCCAACCAGACCCTGTTATTATACGTGCCGTCCTGTTTTGTAGTTTCGACAAGTCCAGGCTTCCTGTAATGCAACTGAGGTTAGGAGATACCGGCTGTACAAACAATGACAAGGGATACCACACCCTTGGAAAGCTGAAGTGTTTTGGTCTGTGATTTAAGAATCAGTCACACAAAACTAGAATATAACTGTATACCCGAAACTTTAAGATTCGCCCGATGTATCGCCATAAAGCAGCATGCTACCTGTTAAGGCAATGCTCTTTTCAAGGGAATCTCAGGATGCCGGGATA